TATGTATATGTATATGTATATGTATATGTATATGTATATGTATATGTATATGTATATGTATATGTATATGTATATGTATATGTATATGTATATGTATATGTATATGTATATGTATATGTATATGTATATGTATATGTATATGTATATATGTATATGTATATGTATATGTATATGTATATGTATATGTATATGTATATGTACATATATGTATATGCATATGTATATACTCTCTCTTTAGTATATCTACAATGATATGTTCCTGTACGGACATTCAGCTAGGCATCATTTTATCGAGTTCACAGTTCGCTCGCTAACGGCTTCATAAAAAATAATTAGCCCAAATTAAAAAAAAATTTAATAAATAAAAAAAAACACAAACAATCTGCAAATCCATGCAGTCACCAAATGCCAAAAACAAAAACAAAAAATAAAAAAAAAAAAAAGTTAAAAAGAAATTCATGAGGAAAACAAAGAAAAAACATAAGAATCGACCTATTAAGTACAAAATTATCAACTATAAAATCAATTGTAATATTTCAATTTTTGTATTCAATCAACAATGTAATTTCAATTTAGTTTTGAAGTATTTGTTGGTAGTAATATTGGCCTAGTTATATTCATAGATTTTGTTGAAAATTTTCCAATTCTAATAGTCGTTTTTATTCTACTTTGTTTGTTTCTGAAGAGAAAGTTAAGATCTCAATAGAAATTTGTTAGACTCATGTTGTTAGATCTCAGATTCATATAGATAAATGGGTTCCCATTAGGAGAGCAACGTCCATATGCCCTTCTTGCCATACGTACGAGTATAATACGTTTAAGTACTTAAATATCTTAACATGCATATTTGACATACTTGAGCTCGGTTAACTCTTCCAAGCTCCAGAACTTAGCTCTCACATTTTGTAAATACCAAAAATGAAAAACCAAAAAAGAAGAACATTTCGTAATTATAATCAGACTAATCCGAACAATACACCAACAATTCTGCCAATTCATTCTGATGCTTTGTACCTATTCATATTGGGATATGTGCTAGATGGGCAGACTGGCCCTGTGCATATACTTGGGCATATACAGTGCGTATATGCTACAGACAGAGTATAGATTCTACTTAGCAGGACAAATATCTAAGTCGTCTGTCTGTCCGTCCAATCGTCTGCACAGACTAACAAATTTGAGAATGATATATGTGCTATTATATAATCTGAAAACAAGTTTGTGCTTCTTTTTTTTTAAGTCGAAGATAAAGTAGAGCCAATGATCATTGAGATAAACAATAAAAATATATATATAAAGTTTTTTTTTTTGCAATTTGATTAACACATTTGGCTTCTATGTTCTGAAAGATTGAGATAAGAATAAGGAAAAATGCATAGTTGGGAGACGCTTTAAGAATTAGTATCTAAATATGAACGTATGTGTATGTTTGCGAGTGTGTGTGCGCGCGTGTGCGTGTGTGTGTGTAGATATAGGATGTGCGGAAAGTTAGTATGTGTATTTGACAGCAGCTCGAAGGTGGGTACAGGGTATCTGCTAATCGGGTAAGCCCGACTAGAGCACTCTTTCTTGTTTCCAAATGTTATTGCTCATCTGATGGCGTTAGTGTATTACGATGTTACGAGGCGATTCGCTATGTTTTTTTTTTTCCTACTATAATTGTAAATTTGGCTTGTTCAATAACTGTCTGGAATGAAAGTCACATGGGAAATCTAAATCTAAATCTGAACAGCTCTTCATTTTTACAAGAAAAGTGCAAAAAGAAAAAAAAAAATT